GGTTTCTAGAACTTCAGGTCTCTGGCTGTACGAAAGGGTAGGCATCACCAAAATCTGGATATACTTATCCATGGGCCTACTGGTTGCTCTGGTTGGTTATGTAGCAACAGAATAATTCTCCATTTCATTCCCCACAACATCAACAATTCTTCCAACAGACAAACATTCGGCCATGTTCTACAGAACTATTTTAGCTCGTCACTGTAGAACCCTCCTCACCAGCCAACGTTTCCGTCACATGACCACAGTTATGGACAAGGGTATTTTTAATGGCATACATAAAAAAAAAATAGATATATTTTTAAAGCTTGGAGCTCACACACCCTTAAAGTTGTATCTTCTGCATAGGCCAATGCTACCCATCTCCTAATAGATCAAGTGACTGATTCCACCGATGTTAGGAAACAGGTCCATTTCTACTCTTAGAGCACATGTCTCAAACTCAAGGCCCAGGGGCCAAATCCGGCCCACCAGGCCGTTTCCCAGACTTCTACTTTCAGATCTAGGTATTAAGTTATTACTAAAACCAGTGATAATCGAATGCAGAGGCAATTATGATAAAGATTAGATACATTTATATAGTCTTACGGATACCTTTGAGGGCAACCATAATGTTGATGCGGCCGCGCGATTAAATTGAGTTTGACACCCCAGTCTTAGAGGTTCTTGATGACCCGGTTGAGAAACAGGTTAAGCCAAAGTGCAATGATCCAATTGTAACAAAAATAAAAGTCCCAGAGTGTAGAAGTCTGGTCCTTCTAAAATGTTTGGTTAGTAACCCAAGAAAAGGGAAGTCCGGAGATAAGCTGGACCCAGTGTTATGTTCCGTTTTCTAGGAGGACCTCATTTGGAACCGTGGCTCTCAAAGTTCACGGCACAGTCCATCACAAAACGGGGACGGACTACGGCGAATCGAAGCCTGCAACCATGCTACCCTTAGCAGCTGACACAAGTGAGAGAGAAATATGTCAATATGGCTCACACATGGGCCCTTCATACCAAAGTATTCCCGGGCCAAACTAAAGGAATGATTCAAAGATTTCACTTTCCCATGTTTACAATTATTAGAAATTCCTCTACAGTGTCATCTGCTCCAAATAATCATTTTTCCAATGCCTTCCATTAGTTCCAAAAGAGGGGTTTTTTTGTTTTTAAATGATTTTCCAGCCTTCTCATATTATTTGATACAAGATCAATCCACTGATCTCCTCTTCCCCCTCTTCCCGGGTTTGCACTTTACAGACATTCACGCATTGCAGGCCTATCTTGTTCCTCAATCCGCTCAAGAACAAAACAAAACAAACAAAAAAGTCGCACCTTGCACCCCTTAAGGATTTTAGAACAGGTAGAACTTTAAAAAAAAAATTTTTTAAGTCCTCAAATATTATAGAGGTTAAAAAAAAAAAATGCTGATTCAACTTCCACAAATTTGGAATGCCCCCGGCACACTTGACCTTGCACTTTGACATTACTTGGCTAACAGGAAAAAAAGAAAAGATGTGATTTTTTTTTTGTGGTTGCCGTCTGGGAGAAGTTAAAGTGACATTAAACCCTCAGATTTTTTAACATAAACCAATACTGTAATGTGCGCCTTACTGTAATCCATGGTTGTTTCCCTTCTCTTTGCTGCTCTTCCATTTAAATCCTCATGTCTTCTCATGCTGGTTGCACTTCTGTTTTGCAGCAGACTGCCTTGTCTCTGGAATGGATACACGGTGTCTGTGTGAAGGTTCACAAACTGAGCCAGCACTACAGGAAGAGGCACTCAGCTGCAAAGGGAAGTTCTCCCCAAGCATGAGAAGACATGAGGATTTAAAAAGAGCAGCAAAGAGAAGGGAAACAACCATGGATTACAGGAAGGCGCACATTACAGTATTGGTTTATGTTAAAAAATCTGAGGGTTTAATGTCACTTTACATTTTTTTTACTCTTCTATGCAAAAGAAAAACTCTTATTTAAATCCCAATATAGGACTATAAATTAGCAGCAGGAGGTTTCTTTGTCTTTTTTTTTCTCTTTGCGTCATCTTTATGCCTTTTTGTTTTTTACTACTCGCTTCTAAAATTAAAAAAAAACAAGAACCAGCAGGTTTTTAAATAATACAATTGTCTGCATTATCTTTGGTATACAATTACATTTTTTCTTTATGTCTTTTTTTTAAATTTTAAAGTCTTTTTCTCTTTTTCCCCTTTTCTCACTATAAAAATATATTCTATCTTTTTGCTATAGAAGGACTGCATTGCAGCTCTTTCTAAAAAGCGTTAGTCACGGATTCCGCTACCTAAATACGCGAAGAGTGTGTGTGTGTGTATATATATATATATATATACACACACATATATATACATACAGGTGAAACTCGAATAATTAGAATATCGTGCAAAAGTAATTGCAGTAAGTGCTGCAAAAGGGGCCCAAACCAAGTACTGAGTACATATGCATGCTTGTACTTCTCAGAGGTCCGATATTGTTCTATGTACAATCCTTGTTTTATTGATTGCATGTAATAATCTACTTTTCTGAGGTTGTGGATTTGGGGTTCTTGGGGTTTTCATGAGCTGTAAGCCATAATCATCACAATGATGACAAATCACGGCTTGAACTATCTTGCTTTGCATGTAATGAGTCTCTCTCATATATTAGTTTCACCGCATAAGTTGCATTAGTGAAATAAATGAACTTCGCACGATATTTTAATTATTCGAGTTTCACCTGTATATACACACACACACATATATACGTCTATAGGAACCTATATGCACATAGTTCTCTCACAGAAAATTGGATTTGGCTTTTTGTTTTTCATAATTTTTGTCTTTTTAAAAAAAATAACATTTTTTTGTGGCCAATAGCTCTTTTGACGAGTCTGCCCCGTTTTCCTGTACGTGACTAGAACACTGAAAACAAAAAAGAAACACCACAACAGACCTGGTAGGGTGTAAGTAGCAGCAGCTTATGGTTTAAGGCAGACAGTTGCCTATTGTTATGCCATTAAAAATGGACTTGTTCCCAATATTTGAGAGAAAAAAGTTGAAAACTCAAAAAGCTTTATCTGCGAGTTCAAGTTTTGTCAAAATAAAAAATATACATAATTTATTTTTATTTATTTTTTTCCTTTACATTATGTGCCTTTTTTTTTGGGTTACACTTGAAAAAGTTTAGTGCTTTGTGTCAAGTTCCCAAGCTGCCTATCCTTTTTTTTTT